AGCTGCACTCGAATCTAAAACCAACTCATCATCTACATCCAAATCCAAATGATCTCCAAACTGTGTCACCTCAGCTAGAATCTCAAACGATGCAGTATGATCTGGAGTATGTGGAGTAATCTCCACCCAATGTGAAGTAGCATCACCCTCCATCAGTTGCGATATCCTAATGATCTGATCAATACTCTCCACCTGTCGAGAGCCAAATATGACATACCTGCTCAGAACAAAATCAGAAGCTCCTAACTGATAATCAAACGAACCTCTGAATCCCAAACGTGCAATCGGATCAAATCTCACATCCTCGATGTGACCAAATACTGGGCAACTAAATATCTAACGCAATCTAAAATCTGAAGTAACTCCACCAGATCCAAAATCTCCACAAGCAGCAGTCGACAACCTATGACCAAGATGACCCAAATATGTTGAAGCTTCAAAACCAAAACCAATGCTCGACAACAAACGCCGATCCCCTCCAGTAAGGAACGACCCATCAAAACGGTTATCTCATATCATTGTCCTAATATCTCCACATTAATGAAGTGTCTCAAACTGTCATTAGCTCGGCACAAATGTAAGAAAGAACCCCTACCAAAGCTAGAACCACGGGTTACCTTTCTGCCAATATACTTCTTCCAATTATTATTGGCTTCTATAACTTCACACCAATGGGGTATGGTTGCAACCCACTAATGCCTAGAACAATCGTCAACTATGAAAACCAAATATCGATTACCTCCCAATGATGCCTCATTGGAAGGCTCCCAAATGCCTGACTGAACACCACTTAAAAGACCCCTCGATCAATGGATAGAAGTGCTAAACTTTACCTCAGTCTTCTTGCTCATACCAATGTGCTCAAAGGACTTTAATCTGTAGGTCAAAGCACTCCTAACAAACCATGCATAGTATAACCAATCAAATAATCCAGCCTCAACAAATGTCACAGTCTAGCCAAATCCAAAGAAGTCGCCAGCTCTCTATCAAACACCATGCTACCAATTAAATAATACAAATTATTCCTCCTGACATCCTTCATCACAATCATGGACCCCAATGTGACCTTTAAACGTGAATCGACCAAGGTCACCCTATAGCCTGCTACCTCTAAAACTCCAAGTGAAATGATGTTCTTCTTCAACAAAGGAACGAACCTCACTCCAACCAACTTCCAAATCACTCTGTCACTCATCCTAATCCGAACGGTATCGATACCACCAATAGGACATTCATGATCATTACCCATGAGCACGACCTCCCCTCTTTCCAACTCCCGAAAGCTGGAGAACCAATCCCTCCTAGGGCAAATATGGTAAGAAGCACCTGAATCCAACATCCACTCTATAGAGTCGATAACACAAACTGAAGGTAGTGCAGATAATGAGTAGCTCGAAGAATCCGAATCTGAATTATTACCACTAGCCTTAACAACATTCACCTCTGAAGCTTGAATAACTTTCCTCTTATTCTTCCCGGCTCGATCAACCAACTTTGGGCATTCGGCTTTTCAATGTTCATCATCTTTGCAAAATGCACACTAATTCCTACGAACTCCAAAATGTGCCCCTCTAGACTGCGACCTCCTACCACGGTTTGGATTCTTTGCTCTTGCGACCAATGCTCCCGCTACCGGCTCAACTGAAGTCTCATCATCCTTTTTTCGAAGCTGATAATTCACAAGTGTAGCGATGACCTCACTATAAGAAAGAGATGACTTTCCATTAATAAGAGTAAGAACGAAGGTCTCATATTCCTCATTAGGCAAGGAACTCAACAACAACAACGCCTTGTCCTCATCTTCAATCATCACATCTACATTCGTCAAATCCGTAATAAGCTTCGTGTAGTGGTTCATGTGATCACCAATGGAGGTCCCATTCTTCAATTAGAAGTGATAAAGCCTCCTCTTCAAATGCAAACGGTTCTCTACACTCTTGGTCAAATACTTGCCCTCTAGGATCTCCTAAATCTTCTTAGCTGAAGTCTCATTGATCACATTATATTTTTAAATCTTAAGTCAAACAAGATCTAATCACATCATATGTTGTTCTATTCATCTTTTTCCAAACCTTCTCCTTAATGTCGTCCGGTTTCCCGTCCAACTCCAAAGTATCTTCCAAATTTTGCGCATTGAGCGCATCCAAGACTTCACATCTCCAAAGACCAAAATTATTTGTACCATTAAACTTCTTCATATCGATCTTCATAGAGTGGATATTTAAACTTTGGACGGTCTTTACGCCGGAAGTACCCTCCACAACACCTTCTTTCCCGACTATCTTTCTCAAAACACCAAAACAAATACGAGACAAATGAAGAATAGATCCAAAACTAAAAAGGATAGAGTCTTTACCAAAAAAGATCTTACCTTTATCACCAAATGAAGCCCTAGGCGAGCCTCCAAAACGACCTACTCCTCCAAATAGCCCAAGCGTAGCCCGAGTTCTGATACCACTTGTTGAGCGCTGCAGAAGCCAAACAACCAAACCAACGTGCTACGAGAAATCAAATCAAATGAACGTCAAGAGAAGGCCAAACAAACCAAATCAAAGCCACAAACACAAACAACCAATTTTAACGTGGTTCGACAAGTTGCCTACGTTCACGGGGCAAGAAGGGGATAGGATTTTTCACTAATAAAGAAGAAGAGTACAAACTGAGATTACAAATCACTCAAACTCACCAATTAATCTCACTAACAAATCTCTAATTCTCTCCAAACAAAACCCTAACCAATAGCTCAGAAAATACCTCTTTTCTGTGCTCCAAATATCCTCAATTTTCTCCTCAATTCTCTCTTCCAATAGTTCCATATATATATAGAAATCCTAAAATCATAAACATACTAGGAATTCTAAAACAAAAAATAAAATAGATTAGGAATCCTAATAATCTGTTACCAAAACAGATTAGGGATCCTAATAACCTCTTACCAAAACAGATTAGGGATCCCAATAACTTGTTACCAAAATAAATTAGGAAACATATTAGGAACCTGCTACCCAACAGTTGCATTATCGGACATGATCTCTTTATTAGCGAAATAAATTGTATTCATATAAGAATTCACAGGTACTGCATTTATGTATGTGAAATTCTAACTTTAACCTGAAAACAATAAACTTATAAAACCTAGTAAAAGCCATCTTCATATATGCACGTATATATATATCAAATGTACTACATTTCCCGAGAGAAGCGAGGCAGAATTATAACTTCTATCTGTGCTTAATTAGCATAACTCGACCAGTGACATTTGGTTTATACATATTTATACTCAATTTTCAGCTTCATCATTTAGAAGAAGATCATCTTTACCTTCTTGCAACAAAAACACACATTTTCCTTGGTTAATAAGCACAACAAAATTGTAACATTAATTAGTTACTTTATTTAGGTAATTAAGGATCTAAAGAAACACATGGCAATTGCATTATATTGTTATTTATATATTTTTTTCTTAAAATGAACATTCGGATATACGAACCGTATCTGCTAGTTAGATCCTTATTAATGTACCCGAAATCGTATCTAGAATCGTATCTGAGTAAAAAGAAAAAATCATGTCCGAAACCGAAACCGTATCCAGTCAGTTTTAGTTTCAGATTATGAAATGATGATTTAAGCATCTTCAAAGTACACAAATTAATATGATGCTAACATGATAAAAATAAAATAAAAAATTACCAAAGAATGAAAGTGATGAAGGTAAAAAACAAGAAAAATGAAAAAAAAGGGTATAGTGATAGTACAAAAAATGGTTTTTTAAATATTTTTAATTTATTGAAAGTTTTAATTTCATGAGAACCTTTAGGTGAAAATTGGATCAGTGGTCCATGTATGGACCGATAGATGCATTACCTCATTATATTGTATTTGATCGAGAGGTAAAATGAATGCATTAGATACTTTCTCAAAATAAAGTATTCTGGTTTTGATGGGAAAACGCACTGAATTAATGCAAATAAATGTGGGTTGAAATGGTAATGCTTCATTTTTTTTGCTAAATCCTTAATTGAATACCATTTCAAGCAAGCCATGGTGCTTAGGAAAAAATGGAAGGACATGGATCTCCTTTATAAATAGGTTTTGGATTCATACACATTATTTGTACCAATGGCTTCTTATAGTTTCCCTGGCTTTGTCTATATATTGCTTCTCTCACTTTTGCTTAGCAAAATAGTAAGTTTTCTATCGTAGAATGGTTTTTGAATCTATATATGACAAAATCTGTTGCGGGTAATGGTATATATGTCACATTTTATCTTTATACATTATGTGTATTTCGTATGCATATTTTTTTTATAAACTTACTAGTGCATTCTTCCATGATAAGTGGATGTACTTTATTGAAGCGCAAATTTACGGATCAATAATGAAAATATTTCGTGCTTAATTCTATCTAAAATAAAGAATTAGAAGACAAAAACTTGACATGTTCCATAATCGGTTTAATGTTTTTAGATCAAAAACATATCTTAACAAGAAACTAACACACGTTAATTAAAGAGAGAAACGTACTACACTGTCCTTATTATGTTTGGATAAATTCTTTGTATGTGTATGGTTTTGCTTTTTCCATAAAAATTTAGTTAGTGAAGATGTATGCATAAATGATAGAGAATGTACACGATTGCTAGTACGCAACTATTTGTCTCATTTAATTGCAGTAAATAACATCCAAAACATACAATTCGAGCTATAAACATACAGACCTTTGGGTGTGCACAATGCATATGAAAACGTTACACAAATATGGTAGTTTTCTTTTTAAGCTTTTGTTATTAACGACCTGAAGAATGGTAATCACATGAGGTCGAAGATAACTTTACTAGAGACCATCATATTTTATTGAATACTGATGATTATTGACAAGGCGTAGCACTTCACATCATTCATTCTCATCGTATTCTATCATGGTCTAAATATATATTGAACTTAGTATTGCATTTAAATACTCTTTGACTTTCTCTTTTTATTTCTTTTTTCATGTGTAGCTCATAATACTCCTTCATGTACCTTTGTTATACAGAATGGGTCTCTCTCAAATCTGGAAAGCAGAAAGGATTTCTCAAATGAAGCTCTACATTTACCAATTGGAGAACAACATATTAGAAAACTTGCTCGTGGGTCACAAAATATTGAAAGATCTGCGAGGGATTCACTACTTTCCGACTTCTCACTAAAGAAAGATCCAGCGCGTATTTTTGATGTATGTCATCTTCCTTATTCTTTTATCTTTTGCGGATTAATCGATGAAACGGCAAGAAGCTATTTGCTATTTCCTTATTCTCCATAATTTTTATTCTTCTTTTGACTTAGTTGATTTGTAATAGATATTCATTCATAGTCATCTCAAGAGAATAAAAAAAAAAGATTCAGGCAAGAGTTTTTGTGAAGGTAGAGAAGTGCAAGTAGTACATACGAAATAAAAACTTAAAAAGTAAACCGTATCTTTATTTTGAAATGAAGTCTGTTGATACATCTTTAAAGTTTGATATTTAGTTAAATTAACAAACATGCACCATTCAGAATATGATATACTTCTGCCCGTGTTCACATCCTCCTTTAATTTTTATATTTATGATAGTTTATGTAACAATTTCAATCTCAAAGGGAAAAACACAATTAATCCACTGTTTTAAATAAGTAAAACCCAGAAAGACTTCCTATAATCATTCTGAACTTGAACTAATTATATCCTTTCCTTTCGACTGCATTTTCTATTCCAAGTATGATTGGTTGTTGATGCGATTAATTTTTATACTTTATATGATAAAAGAAAGGGAGTAAAGTAGGGCAAGATTTTTTAAGGTGCATATCCATTAATATATAGAGTTTTTTTTATTTTTAATTGAGATAAGGAGATGGATTGGGAAGAGTTATTAATTATTTTCTTTTCGGAATGTTCTTGGATGTGATTAGGAACTTGAATCTTAAAAACAATCTAAGAGTAGTTTAAAAAATTTTAAAAAAAATTCTCCAAATGCGTGATATGTTTAACTAATTATCAGTTCCTCGTACGTTCTCATAGAAAGTCTATATTATTATTATTATTATTATTATTTTCTTGTTAAATTCACATATATATATGAATATACTTGATTATTATTGAATTCTTCCGGCGTCTAGTATGCGGTGCTGAGTGAAAGAACAAGCCAGTTTCACGGTGCTCAAGCAACTCTAAATGTTTGGGGCTTGCCTGATGTCGGTGCTAACCAATCAAGCTCGTTTCGAGTTTTGCTTGCCAGCGGGGACGCCGGCCCTCCTAATACCCTCAACGTTATAGGCGCGGGATGGCACGTAAGTGTTTTATTTATTTTTGATTAATTTATGTACTGGTATTGTTGTGGTGGAAAAACACTAGAGGCACACCCTTGGGCACACTCTCGACCACACCCCCCCTCACCTGCTACAGTGCAGGGGGCCCCACATGAGAAAAAAATCCCATGTGGGGCTCTGCCGTTGTGGTGTTTTGATCGATGTGAAACCTTATGTTGGGTATTCTCTTATTACATTCCTATTGACAACACATTTCAATTTCTTAGAAAATGAAAAAGTAGAGCCTTTCAACAAGCTGAAGTAGAGCCTTTCACATCCTGCTACTCCATATAAGATGAATAATCGAACCAAGTTTTATTTAATTTTATCATCTTCTATTTAGCTTTAGCATTATTAGCATCTTCCATGTTATGGATATTTATTTTTATTAACAATGATTCTGAAACTATAAGAAACAAAGTAAGGTGGGTAAATATCAACTTGTTATTGTAGATTTCTCTTCTTTCTAATATGTGAGAATTAATTTCAGGTATTTCCAGAACTATATGGTGACCATGATACACATCTAATGGCATATTGGTCGGTATGTACATAGTTCGATTTATATATCCACCATAATTGTGCAATTAATGCATTATTAGTTTAAATGTTTTCTAATTATGTGTCATTTTTTTTATTAGACCGATGGGTTTCAAAGTACTGGATGCTACAATCTTCTGTGCAAAGGATTTGTACCTTATTATCCATCAAAATACGGCTTAGGGAGTAAAATTAGACCACTGTCCACTTATGATGGAGATCAATATGATATTACTTTAAAAAATTTCAAGGTAATGTCTACCCTAGCTTGTTTTCCTTCTGTGGGCTTTACTAAGCAATAAAAATAACATGTGGGAACTTGATTTTATTTCTTTATTATACCGCGGGACATCTTTATATATGCTGTTAAACTTCAATGTGGCAAATGACTTGGTATTCTTCATTTATACTTAATTTATGGAGAAAAATGACAGAGTAACACGCTCTGCGTGTATATATATGTGCCCTTTGATGGTCAAACATATAATCTCCACACGTAGTTATGTACTTCGATTTGTTTCTACGTACGTACTCTCCAGTACCATATTAATTTGCATAAAAGTTGATAAAGTTCTCAACTTTTGGTGAAGTTAATTAGTTTTAAACTGTGGCATGCACAGTATAAGATCGTTGTTAAATTTTGTAAACTACCCTTTAATTAGCTAGCATGTTTATTATGATAAATAAAATGCATTTTTATTTTTTTTACGCGTTTACGTGACCCACGTTATAAAACTATTGATGCATGGATAATGGTTTAAAATTACGGACATGGGCGGATATATATATATATACAGTTCAGGTCAGGTCACGGCCCTCCTAAAATTTTGGGGAAAAAAAAGATAGGGTGGTTTCTGTAAAACCTCCTCTTAGTTAGAGATGTTTTAGTTATAAAAAATTAGATGATGCTTATTTGAATATTTTCTACATCATAATTTTTTTGTCTTCCTCTTTTGAAATATTTTGGAGATCGACATTGATGTTGCCTATTCTACTCGTTTTGGCCCGTTTGGTCTTACGAATTAGGATAACACGACCGGAGACTGGGTGCTGCACGCCGGGCGCGGGGCGGACAAACGCGTAGGTCACTGGCCGAAGTCTCTTTTCACGAATTTAGCGGAAGCCGCCTCCTTCGTCCAGTTTGTCGTCCAGTTTGGTGCCTTCGTCTCGTATCATCCCGTCGACAGGGCTCCCCCGATGGGGAGCGGCCATTTCCCTGATGACTGCGACAAGAGAGCGGCGTATCTTAAAGACGCTTTCGTGTTTAACCCAGTAGACGAGGCCGACGTTCCGTCGCCGGTGGTCGTCCAGAGCAAACCGGATTGTTATCGCGTCGGTGGAGGATACCGTTCGTATGCTCGGGATTACATCGGTGGCCCCGGTGGTTGCTCCGCTTAGAGAAGCGTAAGCTCGTCGAGCTCTCGGTAACAAGGAAGGCTGTGATTGTTTCTGAATTGTTGTCACTTGTGTTCGACCTTTTGCTTTGTTGAGATTTATACGTATTTCCGGTGGTCGGTAAATTGAGTTTCTTGAAGCCTTAATTAATTAAGGGGGGGCGTTTAGTTGCTTGCAGCTATAGTTGCAGTGTAAGTGTCACTTGCGTGCGACCGAGACATTGCAGCTCTTCTTACTTGTAACTACAGCTCTGATTGTTTGGTTCAAAATTTAAATTTTGCAACTTGCAATTGTAACGGTTTGATTTTGCTGTAACTTAACATGCACGACTTATTTTTTTTTACCGTTAATAAATTATTAAGGTTATTAATTCTTTTCGCACTTTTAACATACTTGTTTTTTTTTAAATAATGGTTTTTATTATTAAGTAAACTGACTTTCAAATTTTAAAACAACTTTTGTAAGATAATATTTTTTAAAATAATATTTATTAAAAGAACTATTTTTTAAAAAATAATATACTTTTGTAAAATAAAATAACTTTCTAGAATAGTTTTTTCCTAAAAATATAGCTTTGTAAATGAATTTCAGTGAAAACTAATTCTTTTCATAAATTTTTTTAAAAATAAAGTATTTTTTTTTTCAAAAAATATTATTGAAATTTTTTTAAAAAAATATTTTAATAAAGTATAATAGTATTCAAGGAAAAATATTTAAAAAAATACTTAATAATAAAAACCATTATTTGAAAAAAAGATAAGTATTTTAAAATAATAAAAATCATTATTTGAAAATATTTAAAAACCATTATTTGAAAAATAATCCTTGAATAATTTAAATATTATTCTAGAATAATAATATTTTTTTCAAATAATTATAAAAAAATTGTTTTTAGAAAATAATCTTATAAAAATATTTTTGAAATATTACTTGCATAAAAATATTTCTTGGAAAAGTATTTTTCAATAACTTTATTTTTAAAAAGCATCTTTGAATATTATAATAATATTTCAACAATACTCATATCCAAGCTATGAGCTTCATAAACTTATAAGAATGTGAGTAATATAAAATGACAACTTAATTTAACTTGTCAAATAATTTATTATAAATTATGAAAAACAAGGGGAATCAGAAGGATCACATACACATCCCAAATAAATATTAAATTTATCGTAGGGATCTTATAGCAAAATATTTTCAGAGTTCATGCGTAGGATAAATTTAAGGACAAATAACCCAAACCAGATCAATGAGTGATAGACTTGCTATAAACTCCACTCTTATAAAATTGATGTCATATGCGCCTTAAGTTGTGCTTTTGTTTAATAGTTAATTTTAGAAAACTCTCCCCCCTAGCTATGGGGGATGTAAACCCCTCACACCCCCCCCCCAAAAAAAAAAAAAATTAAAAATAATAATAATAATAAATAAAACCAAGTAAATTTCTTCCAAGTTTTGGGTGTTCTATAGATAATCGATCTCAACTTAAAAACTTTTTAATTTAACCCCTATGGACTTTTCTCACTTAAATTTAACCTCTCAAAATTAATATCATTGAGTCTTATCTATTATGTGGCAAGTACTTGACTTGAAAAGACCAAAATATCCAATTATAAAAGAATTACCTTGATTTTTGTCAGACGAAAGAAAAAGAGGTGATATAGAGGGAAAAAAAACTGTAAATTGGTTGTGGTCCTTTTTTTATCAGTTGAGGGTTTCTTTTTAACTAAAATTGCTTTCTTTAAGAGGATATTTTGTCCACATCACATATTGAAGTAACTATGTTAAGGGGGTTTGTCGACAGAAGTGTTAATGATTAGAGGAGTTTTTATGAGACACACTATAGTTGAGAGGTGTTTTTTAAAATTATACCAAAATTAAGAGGGGTTAACTATAAAAACCCTCATAATAAGGGGATTTTGTCAAATTGAATCTGTTGAGTGGGCTTTTTAAGGCAATCCTTGTAGAGAGGATTTTAAAAAAAACTCTTCTTTTAAATATGGCTTATTTATAATCTTTCCCTCAAAGTTTTAATAATTCAATATTAGTCCCTAAAATTATGAGTAATTTCAAAATTTTGAGGGAACAACATAGAATTATTGAATATTTAAAATCATAGGACTAATATCTAAAAAACCTTTACATACGTGCACTTATAGGCATTGTATTAAATATCGATCGATGTATTGCTGTATCGGTCAATATATCGGGTTAAAGACTTTATCTCGATAATATTTTATATTATTTTCTTTTGTTTGGTGATTTTTTTTATACATCGACCGTTACCGAATATAAGGTTTGATATATCCATTTGAAGATATCAAGACCCTAAATAAAATTATTATTTAAAATAATATAAAAAAATTTACCAACAATTTCCTAAGGGTAACACGGTTCCTTTCAGCTCCCAAAATAATTTTTAACAACCAAATCTATCATATCTAAATCAGTCTCCTCACCATCAATATGTACATCACATTCCTCAAAGTTATGATCATGATAAACATCTCAATGTTCTAGAAAAAGATTTGAAGACCATGATTAAAGCTTCTACACAGACCACCAACTTGTTGACTCAAACATCCAACACTTTGACTTCCTTCATGTAATCAATCGGACAAATTCTCAATTCTAACACCCAAGCATAGTTAGGTTAGAAGCCCAACTCGGTCAAATATTATAATAATTAACATATATACGTGTATAAATAGTTGTTACAAAGATAATATAAATGTAAAGAGTATGTAAACTTAAAAAGCAAGAGGCTGTTACAAAAAAAAATGGCTTGCTAGTTATGAGATGATGGCGGAAGTTATGAATTAAATTGTTATTCATTATTTCCCTAACTTGTCCCTCTGCTTAGCTGTAAATTATTGAAAGGTGTGTGTATAATTTGTAGAATATGCCGTGTGTTTTTTTAAGAGAGAATGACTAACATAGATGTAGAACACTAAAAATGACATTTCTTAAATAATAGTAATGTGATTAGGATGTAGGTTAAAATTTTTAACTTTTTATCATGTTTAGGTTTGAAATAAGAATAATATTTTTTCCCCTAGAAACCACCTTACAAATGTGATAATTATACAGAAATCACCTTTCAATTTTAATTTATACATAAACTAACTTTAAGTGGGCTTTTTATCGCAATTAACCATCTCCTAATCAAATTTTTTAATCAAAACTTAAATTTACCCTTAAAAACTCACATTCAATACATATGGCTTATTTTTTAGTGTTTATGTCTTATTAGCATAGAATTCACGGACATTGACCTTAAATTCTTTACAATTATTTTTTTTTACTGAAAATTTAACCCAGAGGTGATTGATTAGAATAAAATTTACTTTAAAAATAATTTATATATAAATTAAAATTGAAAGGTGGTTTCCGTATAATTACACTCTTTTTAATGAGGTTTCTAGTAATAGAAAAAACCTGACTAAAATTTAAAATAAAATATAGTTAGGCCTAACTGAATCTACTTTTGTAAGCCCAGGCCGCTGGTGGCCCAATGTTGAGCCTGCTCATAGCCCAAGATTCTAGTAGGCTCAAGTCTCCTGGGCTGGGCTACATATTTCGTATAAATATGCATAATAAAATAAATTCAGCAAAAAAGGTAAATCCTAACGAAAAGATTAATTTTGTATAAAAGGATAAAAACCATGATATACTAGTGAATTGCATTGGAGACATGAACGATTGTACGTTTAAACAAATTAATCTGTGCGTAAGAGAATTGACCTTTTCTTTTGGTATGATAAAAAAAATTATTATTTTTTAAACTTGCAAACATTTTTCAAACATATACCCTCCTCTAAGGGATGTTTGGTTCACCATTTTTAAAGAAAACTTTATAGTAAACCCTGGATAATGGCATTTTTGTAATTAGCTGATCTCTGGAGTTTTTTTAAAACTATATTTAGTTCACCACAATTTTCTAGAAAATGTTTCTATAAAGTAGAAAAAACAACGTTACTTTATAGAAATCAATTTGCTCTCCATATGGGTTAAAATTACCTAGAAATCCGACGTGTTAAATTAAATAATAATATTTGTACAAAGCTTACTCATTTCCACTGCTCAACACATTTTCTAGAAAGTTAATTCCCCTTTTTTTACCAAAGAAAGAGAAAAAAATCAAGAAAAGACCACCTTTTGAGATTGTATAAAACTTTTCCTACAAATTTTATAGAAATACATAGAAATTTAATTTTGGGTACTTTTCCTTTTCCTTTTTTTTAAATATAGGAATTCAACCAAACAACCCCTAAGCCCCTACGTTACAATACTACTTATGTTTCTTTATCATTTATCAAAATTAGACACATAAAATACTTATGAAATGAACTATTTAGAATATAGAAGAGAATGTACTCTAAGGAGGGGTGTAAAATAATTCATGTATGAGATAAATTTGTATCTATATCTATTAGGATATAGATATGGTTACTAAACATCTATATATGATAAGATATGATTATGGATATGGATATGTAGTGAAATATCTAAAGTTGTATCAAAAATATATTTAAATATATGTTGATCATACAGTTACAATAATTTTAATCTATACTTTAATGAGTTTGAGTTTAATTTTTATAATCAAGAGATCTTATTTTAGTTTCTCATGTATAAAGAACATATTAATAAGCTCTCTTGTCTCATATGAAGTATATTGTTTCAATATTATCTCGTTTTCTCATACTTGTCTTGTTTTTGCATGCATATCTGCTTATATACTTTTCTGCATGTATATTGGTATCTGTATCCGATATTGTAGTATATATAGATATAAGTTTCCTTATCAAAGCGCATTTGTATTCCTATCTATAATAACTAAGAGGATGTACAATTATCCATAAGTTTAAACTTGGGCTCGAAATCAAACCTGGACTCGTGTTGTGAATTAGGGCTAATCAAGCTGATGTGCTATGATGGTGCAATGAGTGTTTTGTAGGTACACTTTGCACTTTACACTTAGCATGTGGCATCGGGGC